CTGAGGATTTGAAATACCTGGACTTGGACTACTAACCTTCAGTCTTAACTGCTTATACCCTTCATCTCCTAAATAATCCTTGTGGCTATTGTGTCCTGTTGAGTTGATTCTAAGTCATAGTGATTCTATAGAACAGAATAGAACTGCTCCATAGGATTTCCTAGGCTGAAATCTTCATGGGAGTAGGTCTCCAGGTCTTTCTCCTGCTGTACTGGCTAGTGGGTTTGAATCATCAACCTTACAGTTAACAATTGTGCCATGAGGATTCCTTTAAATCTTCTTTATTGACCTGAAAATTAGTGTGAAGGATAGCTCCACAAAAAACAGAAGAGAAGACTCTTGCTTGGGATTGAGAATGGGATGTGATCCCTGACACCAGTAAGAAGAGCATTACCTGAGTGAGAGGTGCTTTTGCTCCCCAGTTGGGTTTCTGATTGGCTGTGGCTGACTGGTGTGAGGTCTTGGCAGCTTTGGATGGGGGAGTCTCTGCCTGTATGGTCAGTGCCCGAAGGCTTCTCGATGTTTTTCATCTCCATTTCTTCATGATGGATCCAAAGATCAGGGGGTCGGAGGTCCTTCTGGCTGCCCTTCCTCTTGCCAACACTGTGGGTGGCCCGTTTCCTATGGAGCAAAGTTAAAAGGCAAGTGTGAAAGCCTCTTTTCAGTGGCCCTTCCTTTCCTTTTTCAGTTGATTCAAGTTAGAAGCCTGAAGGAAACAAAAGGTCTCCCAGGAGGAACCTTAGGAAGCCCAGGACTTGGCAGACAGTCTTGGCTGTCTTTTCCCTTCTCCCCTGGAGCTTCTCCACATTGTAGGAGATGCGCTGCTGAATCCTGAGGGTCCCTGGCAGCCTGCCAGAGCCTCCTTTCTCCAGTTTCCCTGGCTGCTATTCACACAAGGTGACAATGGGTAAGATGGAGCCATATGCCAGTCTTTGGAGCTAGGCATAAGGTACCCGAAGACAACATCTGTTTAGGAGATAAATGAAGGAGTTGCTTTGAAAGGGCACATAGAGATAAAAAGGACAGAATTGATGCCAACAACTATGATCGTGGCTTAGAGTAAAGTCTATACCTCAGCTGTATGATTTAATGTCCAATTGGGAAGCTTTCTATTTGAAAACAAAAGCCACATGAGGACACTCTTAGAAGAATAAAACACTTTTTCTTTGGAGTTGGTAATGTCTGGATTTAAACAAAATGAGACCCATCTTTGAAAAGAGAATTTACAAATGTGCTTCAAATATCTCTCAGTAAGGATTTAGCAACCATACATTTCTTTTTTTCACTAGCAATTTCTTCTTGAGGCTAGTGAGACTAAAATGTTACCCACAAGCTAACTAAAGTAGGATGATTCTCATTCTAAGTGTTATCTACAGCAGAGATCCATAACTGTGGACTGCCGCCAAATATGCACATTGCTTCTTTTTGTAAATAAAGTTTTATTGGTACACCATTTGAGCCCATACAACATCCCACTGCAATAAGAGAGTTGAGTAGTTGAGATAGAGACTGTGTGGCCGAAAAAGTCTGAAATACTGATTATTTAACGATTTTCAGTACTTTTGCCCCCTTGTTCTACTGTTTCATCATTTTGAGTTTCCATCTGAAGCTTCTATTTCTTTTATAATAACGTCTCTTCTAAAACAGAATTCAAACAGTTAAATTTGCCAGAGCACTCCTTTCACAGCTAGTCTTTCACAACCCAAGGAAGCACCTCCCTCTCACTATGCTCATTTGCAATGGATGGTTTATGATAATGTTTATTAAGGACATTCCATGGTTGACAAATGGTTCAAATGAGCTAGCTCCTTGAAAACACTTTGCAAACTCTACAAGGCCACTGAAAATGACTTTAGTTTTCCAATTGCTGAACAAGAAGCTTTGCACATATTAGGCAATGAATAAATGTTTGGTGGTGTGATGTGTTGAATTTTCGCCAACATTCTTTTTTGTCTTTCTTGAAGCAAGCTGGTGCGGAGAGGAGAAAAATAATCCCAGACTTGCTATCTATCTCATAGTTTAGTAGAGAAATTATGCTTTAATATTTTCCTAACAGCTACCTGCATTTTGCCAATTTCCTGGCAACAACCCTGCACAGTTTCTAGACAATGGAAGAAAATGACTCCTAGATCATTTTCCTGTGTGCCCATCCATTCCCTGAATTATTTTCTTACACTTCACCTGCTCACAAGAAACTGATCTGTTACTGACACAGCAATTTCTGAATTTACCCCTAGTTACTTAGAATAATTTAACGCCATTCTCAAAGTTGGAGGTTTCACCCTGTTCTCTTTCTTTCTACCAAATAAAAATGTTAAATAACCTCAGTGGCTATGTGACTGCATAAAAAGAAGTACTAGTTCCCAAATCCAAGACAACATAGTCAGACATCTCAGGATAATGCAATATTCATATAGCCTACGGTGAACAAAACTGTCAAAGAGTTTTGGAACCTAGAAATAAACTACAAATCCTGCTTTCTTTCTTGCTTCACATGTGTGGTTATTCATTGACTCATTCATTCATTCAGAGTCTGTGGGTGCAGGAAATGGTTAAGTACTTGGCTGCTAACTGAAGGGGTGGAAGTTCCGGTTCACCCAGAGGCACGTCAGAAGAAAGCCTTACTGATCTACTTCCAAAAAACCAGCCATTGACAACCCAATGAACCATAGTTCTATCCTGACACACATGGGGTCACCAAGAGGCCAACTTGACTCCAGGGCAATAGGAAAGTAATGATGTAGTGACCTCAATAGCAAGCATCCCCAGGTAGCATCTATTTAAAAAAGAAAAAAAGTTCTAAACTTGGGCTGAGGCAGAACTTTTGGTGCGGTGTAATTCACAACCTCCATCTGGGAAGAAGGTAGCATTCCTGATAAAACCCCTGAACATTTTTGTAATGGATTTTAATCAGATTAAGGCATCTCTTGAGAAGCTTTTCACACACTTATCTGACTGTCGTTCATGAATCTAAAGATCTCTGAAGAGACTTTTTTCCTTTTTGTGTACATTTTGTCAACAGCCCTATAACAATTTTTGTTCCCTATAATGGCTTTTATCAAGAGAGAAATCTTTGGCCTTGGAGAGGACTTTCCTCCCTTCACAGAAGGTTGGTAATAAAACTGACAAGTGCTCATAACTAAATTGTCTGACATTTGTTTTTAAACCTACAGGAACAGCTGTCACCCTGACCCTCTGCCCATCTGCTGGTTCCCTGACAGAATGAGTGCTGCCCGTTGTGGCTCATGGTTCCTCTGTGGCATCTTTGTAGTCTCCAAAATCCTATGCAGATGCTCCTAGCTCAGTGTTTCTCAAGGGGTGGACTCTGGACCAGCAACATCAGCACCACCTGAGAACTTGTTAAAGACGCACATGGGCAGGCCCCAGGCCACATGTGAACGATCTGAAACTGTGCTTTCACCAGCTCTCCAATGAGGCTGACAACCTAAAAGCAGTCTTAGTGAATTATTTGGTTTTGTCTGACTTGATTTTAAAGCTAGTTTTTCTGTTACATATACAATATTTCACACGCTTAACTCCTTCCTCACCCTCGTCCCCTATTTTTCCACAGGTACCAGTAATCTGTTGGTCTATAAAAATTGCTTTAGGATAGGGAGATCTCTTCCCACTCTATGTATTTAATCTTCAGTAAAGGCAAAGCAGGGAATTCACCAAGGCTCTCTGTTGTCTCCTTCTCATACCATGGCAAAGTTTTCACAATATGATTGGGTAGTGGTATTTTGACTTAATTCACTTATTAATTACTTTCACCCAGAATGCCTTCACAACCCTATTTATTTACCAGTGACTAACGACTACTTCTTTACTGGTCATGTTGTCAGAAGGGACCATTCCCTGGAGAAGGATGTCATGTTTGGGAAGGTGGAGGGTCAACGAAAGAGGGGAAGGCCCTCAACGAGATGGATTGACACGCTGGCAGCAGCGATGGGCTCAAGTATAGCAAGAATCATGGAGCTGGCTCAGGACCGAGAGGTGTTTTGTTCTGCTGTGCATAGGGTCGCTATGAGTCGGAGACTACTCGACGGCACCTAACAACACAACAACAATTTCTTTAAGGTTGCCTTTAAGATTCTCTCCTTCAGGAAGCCTTCCTGACCACTTTAGGTCAATGTAATCTTAGAGTATTTGAATCCTTTCCCTTACCTCTCTCTATACCACTCACCTGGGTATTTGATCACCAATGGTCTTATTGAGCTCTCTGGCTGCTCACTGTGGGTTAACGGTATTTCACTAGTAATACACAAGCAAACTCTTGTTTTCTTGACATCTCTAACAACACCTATTGTTTTACATTCATTTATATACAGGAAGTCCCCAGATTACAGACAAATCTGTTTCTAAATCTATCTTTAAGTCAAATTTGTACATAAGTTGGAAGTTAGGTATGGTTCGTATCTAACACCAGTTAGTCAAATGTTGTCTTAGTATATAGTGTACCTTTCTATGCATAAAAAAAAATTAAAGAAACACTTCTAGATTCACTAAAACATCTTTAACATAATAATACAGTAAAAATGATAATGTTTTGATGTTCATCACAAAGTAGCACCTGTTTATTATTATGAACCATGGTATGTAGTTTGGATTTTTAACATAATACGTTTTAGGAGGTTTGGTTTGTAACTATGGGTAACACATATGTCTGACATTCATAAACTGGGGACTGCCTCTATATACTTATTTATTCATTCAGTAAACATTTATGGAATATTGAGTATGTGTCCAGAAATTTGCTTAGTACTAGAAATGCAAAGATGGGTGAGACCTCCGGAGCATGATAACTTAATGAACAATTCATTGACTTGTAGGGATTTCTGCACTGGTGGAGTGAGAGACATGCTCTGGGACTAGAGAAGCAATAACGTTCAAAAAGTATTCAGGGACTCAATTATGGGGGACTTTGCCTACAACAGAAACATTTTTCATAATATTCAATGTCAGCGGAGAGTAACAGAAAGACCTTTAGTTTGAGTTAGCAGTAATCAGATTTGTGATCTTGTATGATGTAGATCACACAGTATGCATGCAACAATTACTTGGACCTAATAATAAAGATTTTTCAATGGTTGACTTGGACTTTTTTTTTTTTTTTTTGCAAGGTTCTTCTCCAATTCCTTATTGGTCCATCTGTTCCTTACTTTGCACATAACCTTGTACTCTAAGGAGAGTTTCTTCCCTTTTCCCTTTCAATCAATATTCTGGAGATGAGCCTGGGTAAGAAACAACACTGGTGGAATGTTCAATTTATTCAAGACCGTGTCCACTGAAATTCTCAAATATTACTTTAATCTCATCTATTTCTTTGTCATATTGCAAATTATTGAGTATCCAAGCATGATGTCCATCTCCAGAGACAACATGTCCAAAATACATGAGATGTACTCTTTCTGTCCTCATTTCTAAGGAGCACTCTGGCTGTACTTTCTCCAAGACAGATGTGTTCATTCTTTGACAGTCCATAGTGTATTCAACATTCTTCACCAACACCATAATTAAAAGGCATCACCACATCTTTGGTCTTCTTTATTATCATCCAGCTTTCACACACATATGGGTGATTGAAAATTCCATGGCTTTGGTCAACTGCACCTTAATCCTCAAAGTGATGTCTTTACTTTTTAACATTTTAAAGATGTCTTTTATAGTAGATTGGGATAATGCAACATGTAGTTTGATCTTTGACTGCTGCTTCCATGGGTATTGATTGTGGATCCAAGTAAAATGAAATCCTGAACAACTACAAATATTTACAACAGATATTTTGTTGTCATGATATTGCTTATTGGGCTACTTATAAGGATGATTGTTTTCTTTATGTTGAGGTGTAATCCATACTGAAGGCTGTAGTCTTTCATATTCGTCAGTAAGTGCTTCAAGTCTTCATTTCAGCAAGTGAGGTTGTCATCTGTGTATCACAGGTTACAAAATGAGCCTTTCTCTAATCCTGATATTGCATTCTTCTTCATATTGTCCAACTTCTCTGATTATTTGCTCAGCATACAGATTGAGTAAGTATGGTGAAGAGATACAACCCTGACATACACCTTTCTTGACTTAAAATCTTATAGTATCCTCTTATTCTGTTTGAATGACTGTTTTACACTACATTAGGCATACTATGCTCATAATACACTGCTGTTCACATAAGATAGAGAAATGAATAGCTCTGTAATCATTCTAGTGGTCAAATAGGGGTGAGCACATCATTGAGCTTAGGGTAGGGGCATTCTACCCAACCAAAGACTTGGGGAAAGCATCAGGAAAGATACCAGTTGCCATAGTTGAGTTCTGCTCACAGTATCCCCATGTATATCAGAGAACTATACTCCACTGGGTTTTCAATGGCTGAACTTTTGGAAGTAGACCACCAAGCCTCTAAACAGCCTCTGATTGGTCTGAAATCACCAACAGCAGCCATGCTTCTTAATCGCTGGCATCATCCAAGTACTCCTTTCAGGAAGGAAGGAAGCCTGAATGAAGTTTAGAGGGATGGTTATGAGTTAACAAGGAAAGGATCTTCCTCAAGCATAAATACCTGCCCCTCTTTATCTGTGATTTCTAGCCTTCTAATTCTCCATATTGATCCTCCTCATTCTACTAAGTTCTACTTAAGAGAGAGAGAGAGAGAGAGAGAGAGAGAGAGAGAATAAAGCAAGTAAATTATATTAGAAACTCAGGGTAAATGTTTGAACCTATCAGCCTTTCCACCAATGAAAGATGAGACAGTCTTCTTCCATAAAGATTACAGCCATGGAAAACCTAAAGGGAAGTTTTACTCTGTCCTATAGGGTCATTATGAGTTAGAGTTGACTCAATAGCAATAGGTTTCTTTCTTTTTTTCTAATATGCATATTATATACCATATATGTATTTGTAAAACATGTATGTATATATAAATGAGGTATATGCATATATGAAATACATATATGTACATATAAAACATATACAACATGGTAAGTCATAGAATAAAATTTATAGATGCTAACTTGAAGATACTGCTGATAGTACTTAAAAATATTTTCAATGCATTTGTATGTTGGATGTCTCTTAACAGAAAAGCAAATAAAAATTCACTTTCTCCCACACTCCCAGACAAAGAACTATTGAAGAAGCCTGTGAATGTGTTTCCAACTTCACCTTATTAATTACATTAAACTCTCATTTCCTGAGAGCCCTGTAACGGACATTATTTCTGTTTCAGATTGGAATTGATTTTGCTTTCACCTGCATTATTCAATTTATTTTAAAGGGTTCAGTGGTGGTGGTAGTGAAGGAGAGGGGTCCTTAATGAAATAGAGAAACTAAATAAAACATCAGACATAACTTGAAAGAAGGAAAGAAAAATCTTTTCTCTCTGCTCACATATACAAAGAGACTAAGATGAGGGCCACTGAAGAAACATAGATGAAATAAATGTGTGAAAATATGCCCAGTAAATATTAAGAAATTTTGGGGGTGCAGTAGGGAAGAACCAAAGGGTCTTGTGGTGGTTATGTTTTTGTGTCAGCTTGGCTGGGCCTGGTTGTGGCTGGGCAGCTGGATGTAGTATTCGCCATGATGAGACTGGCAATCAACTCCATGGTGGAATCTACCACAAGCAGCTGAGTACCTGCCTTTGGGTATGTGGTCTGCTTCCTATATAAGCCATGGCTTTGGGAATGGTCTCTAGCTTATGGCACGGTTGGACCCTGCATGTAGCCATGTCGTTGTTCAGCAGCCTGCCGTGCTCTGCCGACCTTGGGACTTACAATGGACTTGAATTAATGGCCTGCCGTGTGGTTTGGTAACATCGGGACTGTGCCTTTTTACTTGTTGACCTTGAGTTTCTCAGCCTCAGCAGCCAGCAGCTGTCTGAGTGAAGAAAAGCCTCTAGCTTCAGTGGGCTGGGAGCAGGATGCAGAGCTGGACCCCAGCAGCTGGGTGAGGGGTTTTCACCCAGCCCCTAGAGCCTGGCGCTTTGAACTTGGACTTACAGCCTCCAAACTATGAGAGAATAAACTCCTGTTTGTTAAGGCCATCCCATTTGTGGTATATTCTTGTCAGAGTGGTGCTAGGTAACCAGAACAGGTCCTTAGCTCAGGACTTGCAAGTTAACTTTCTTTTGGGTTTTCAGACTTTCATGGAATCATTTATCTTCTCATTCATTCCTTAATTTTAAAAACAAGCCATACTCAGGGCTCCACCTCTACTCTTCCAAATAAATCTTCAAGTTCTTACCAAAGTGGTTAGGTTGGCTTAAAGACAATTTGGGAGTTTAGCAGATTTAGGTCAAATCCCACTTTGCACATTGAGAAGACTGGCATTTCTCTGTGGAGAAACAAAATATGTCCAGGAGTCCATTTCATTGGGTCAATATAACACAAACATTCCTCTCCTGGTAATGAAAATTAAATAAATTCACTGCAGATGGTTTAATTAATTATATTTAGGTTAGCAAATGCAATGCTATTTTTAAAACAATTATGAAATAGGCAAAGTTTGCTTTTCATGCTCTCCTACTCTCTTTTCATGTGAATCCTTCTCAGATGCACTTCAGGAAAAATCTGGTGCCTTGATGCACCACCATTCCATGCTCACAGAACCCCTTTCCTGGAAATGCTGGGCCAAGGAAAGGTTCAGCACCTTAGCACATTACAGTTTCTTTTCCCCAGAGCCTTCCTAATTACCCAGTAGCCTAGAAGCTATGTGGGTGATTAGGACCACTCAGATGGCTGGTCTTATTGAACTCACTCTTTCAGACTTCTCATTTGAGCACAATAGACCAGAGCATCAGCTATCACCAACTTCAAAATAGGTCAGTCTCATAAAGGCAGCCGGTATAAATGTCACCCTGCAATAGCAATAAATTAAATGGAGATGGCTTCCACACCCCTGTGGCACCTTCTCCAGTATGTACGCCCATCTTCCCCAAACCCTGTTTCTAAACATCCACTTCAGAGTGCTAAAGAAACACTAGAGATCAACAAATAGAGCTACAGGAATTTTAAAACGAGAGAAGAGAGAAAGGCTGAAGTATTACCAAGGGAAGAAGGCAGAACTATTTGCCGGAGAAATTTGTCTAGCAATGTGTGTAGTATAGAGTTGTCAAACCAGCCACCTATGGGCCCACAGCTCAGGCTTACAGAGCCAGCACTGTGCCTGAGGCAAAGAAATCAAAGCAGAAAAAAACCTATTACAGCCAATCCCTTCAGAGAGTGAGTGTGTGCAGCTGACAGAGACATATCTAGATGAATTTGTAAAGGGCTAGAGAGGCAGAGGCAGAAAATGATCAGTCGATCATTGCTCAGTGCTTGAACTGGCTGACACAAGGCTAATACTCTAGTTATGAATAAAAGTCAACTTTCTATTCCAGATTTTGGTTTTTTGATACATCATCCTCTGCATATGCCAGAACCTAGAGCTTTTAATTTCTGAGAATTAATCGCAAGGTAGAATTTTCTTTCGAAACTACTTCCTCCAAACTAAACACTCCATAGTTTTGGAACTGCGGTGAGTTTGGTACTCTATATTAAGTCATCCAATCAGTAAGCATTGATTAACTGCTTATAGGCCAAAGAGATAAATAAATATTATCGTCCCCAACATGACTACAAGCAGGGCTGTAAGTGGGCCTGTGGTGGAATCTATTCTCTAAGTGTTATTTAAGGAACACTTGTCCTCACTTAAGGAGCTCTGGTGGCTAGTGCTTAAGGCATTTGACCACTAACCAGAAGGCCGGTCATTCAAACCCACCAGCGGCTCCATGGAAGAAAGATTGGACAATCTTCCATAAAGATTTACCACCTTGGAAACCCAAAGGAGGTCTCTATGAGTCAGAATTGACTCGATGGAAGTGAGTTTGGTTTTTTAGTTTTGGAAGGAAGACACTGGCCCTGAGAAGTAAAAGCAAACAGAAATGCAGAGTGAGTCTCCAGGTAGATTCGATTATTAAATCTGCAAGTCTAGCCTTCTCTCACTTAGGTTATGGGCTCTGAACAGACAAAGGGCAATGATTGCCAGGGTCAGGAGATAAAGGACATGTGGTGAATTATGAGAGCACAGAGGAGAACCTTTAAAAATATAACTCAAAAAAGTATTAGGTTGGTCAAACAGAGCCTTCTCTTGTCTTGGGAGCCAGCTGTTACCTACTTTCTCTGCTGGGCTGAAGAGCGTCGGGAGCAAATAACAACCACAATTGCCACCACCAGCACAGTGATGATGCCAACAGTGACTACGATGATCACAAGCAGGTTGCTGTTCTTCTGAGGAGTGACACTGCCATGTGGTGGGTGCATCTGCCCAATGGGTGGCTCTGGGAAAAGACAGGCAAACAGAGATCAAGTTTAGAGAGATATGGCAGTCCAATGTTTACCAAGCTCTGTTAGGGATGGAAAGCATCCTATTGTGCTGGGACTTCCTGAGGCTGGAAAAGAAGTATTGGCAAAGGATAGGGAAGAAGAACTAAAGTACCTATGCCAAAGAAATGAAAAGCAATGTCCACTCAAAAACTTGTACACTAAGATTCATGGCAGCATTAATCATTTTAGCCCCAAAGTGGAAACAAATGTCTGTCAGCTGTTTGATGGACAGACAAATGTACATCCATACAATGGAATATTATTCAGCTCTAAAAATGAATACTAAACCATGCTACAACATGGATGAACTTTGGGAACATCAAACTATATGAAAGAAGCCAAACAAAAAAGACCACATATTTTATGATCCCATTAGTATGGAATGTTGAACAGAGGCAAATCTATAGGGACAGAAAGTAGATTTCTGGTTGGCAGGGATTGGGGGAAGGAGGGAATGGGCAGCAACTGCTAATGAGTTTGATGTTTCCTTTTGAAATGATGAAAATGTTCTGGAATTAGATAGTGGTGGTAGTTCCACAACTTTGTCAATATACTTAAAGGTATTTGAATACATTTTAAATGGATAAATTTTATGGACCAATTTGGTGTGTGACAAAAGTATTTATAATATTATTATACTATTAAAATATTAAACAAAATGTTCCCCAAATAACTCATCTACCATAGTGTTTGGGATATTTTTGGTGCAGACTTCCATACCATAATGTTTAATAATATCCATTTAATAATATCCATTATGCCAAGATACATTAAATTCTTTTCACAAATGAATGTAATAACCTAGTACTTGCTCCTAATAGAAATAATGCCCAAGAATCACTGCTTTTTAAAACCTTGACCACATTATTGTTCATTCACTATTGGGAAAATAATAAGCATTTCTGATATAACTTGAATCTCTGGGGGAGGAACTCATCAAAAGTTTTTAAATAGCACTTACTGTTAAAACATTCTGACTATAAATGAAAGAAAGATTTCCTTGAAATAATTTTCACATTTACTAGACAGGAATGGGGCAAGTTATGAAAGGTCTGAACTTTCTGTACCATAGTTTTACTTACTATTTAAAAAGTCATTTTATAATAGCATCTTCATATGCCCTTTCTGTGCTTAATAAATTAATTTATTGAAATAAATTAGTCTCTTATGTGAGAGCTTACAATAGAGATAGTTGGGAATCTCAAGGACTTTTATTAGTGTGACTTAAATTTAATAGTTCATCATTTCTGACAAACTTGGTTTGAGTCATACATAGTCATACAAAGCAGTGCACCTTATGAACATTCTAAAAAGCCTAATAAGAGCAAATTATTCAAATTTCTACTCTTATTTCTTTCTTTCCACCCAGGAGGACATTGTGTTTCAAATCAGAAAATAATGACTGGATTCTGCTGCACATTAGTGAGATGACACTGATGTCATTTGCCTCGGGAGAGTGAGGGTTCATGAAGACTGCCATTATAAATCTTTGATTTCAGGCCTTTATAACTTCCTCATAAAAGTTCCCATCAGTTTCAAACTTGGTAGCAAGGTCTTTCATTAATTTTAGAATCCCAGTGCAAAGGGTGAAAAATCAGAACATCTGACAGTGAACAGGCAGTAAGAAATGCAAGTGCTATGGTATCTTTAGATCTCAATACACCAAAAGACTGCTGCAAATTAGGAGAATGTCCACAGTTCAGAAATTTATATTAGGACAACCAGAAATTCTGAAAGGCAGCCTGGCTTCAGAAGAGGCAAGAAGGCATTTCTCAGCTTGGGGGCTTCATTAGGGAAGCTGTATGGTATAATTCAATGACATGCCTTGGAAGTCTCCTTCTTCGATTTGCCGCCTGACCATTAGTAAAGCTAGATGTGACTCATCTATAAAACCAGAATAACTGTACCCATCTCCAGGGCACTGTGATTATTGCATAAGATGATACATGCAACACACTGACCACTGGCCGCGGCAGAGAGTTTGCGCTTGATAAACATCATGATGTGGCTCAACAGATTTCATCTTTATGTGATTTTTTTCAATTTAAAGAAAAAAATACATCATCATACTGCATCAGTTTCTTAACACTACCTTAATGGTGTTGTTATGTGTCTGAGGAATCAAGAATTAGGTTTGTTCCATTAAAATCAGTGAGAATGGAGTCTGAGTTTTTAAAATCAAATGGACATTTCATCTGCTTCATGACTTTTAATCATTGTAAAAGCTTTCATCCTTTTTGTGCTAAATTTGTTATGAGCATAATTATATTTTTTAGCAATGTGATGGATCTAAAGACTTAGTAAAGATTGAATATTGGTTCAGTGAAATAATAATATATTTAATTTTTATAATACTTGACAGTCTTTCAAAAATATTCTATATTCCTTATGACATCATCCTCATAAACTCTGTGGTAAGCTTACTGATAGGCAAGAGCCCTGAGTGCTTAATTATCACAAGAACAACAAGGCCAGGTATTGAAGTCAGGGGTCCTGGATTCTATGTTTTGGGCTTTGGCCCATTACTGTAAACACTGTGCCCTAAGAGCTGCACAATATCAACAGGCAAGTAAACAATGCAAACATAAAAATGACAAGTTCACTTCTGAGGAAAGAACAGACTCACTGAAAAGTGAAGTTGAATAGGGACTAAACTTCTCTACCATAACTGGTGTCTTCCTTGACAACACTTTCCATATTATTAGAATACTTTGAGCTCAACATATGCCATGCAATTTCACAAGTCTTTGAATTTGCACAGAAATCATATGGCATTGAACATTTCAAAGCTTTTCCCTCTGATATAAGGTGCTATAGTCAATCAGCTGGAAGAGAACTCACAGAAAATCTAACCCAATGTTCTCTAAAATGAGATATTAATCAGGGTTATGGACAGGAAAAGCTCCTTGGTCAATTAAGTTGAAAAACATATTTCTTTGCTCAAATCTCAGAGCTTTGAACATGTTAATGTGACCTGTGAATTGTAAGGAAGGACTGGGAGAGATGCTAGAGAATGTATTCAATTACTCCGTAAATATGTATTGAAGATTTAGTAAGGTGCTGAGGATACAATGTTGTGGTCAACAGAGGCATGTGCTTTGACCTCATAAAGCTTACAACTTAGTGGAAAAGAAAAATATTAAAAACAATCATGAAGTAAATAAATATGAAATTACAATTATAATTTATGCTAAAAAGAAGGGTAGAAGGGTTCATGAGAAATGCAACGTAAGGTCATTGGGAGAGAGAAGTCAAGAAAGACCTTACTATGGAAAGGACATTTAAACTAAATCATGGAGGGTTTCTAGGAGCTAAATCTTGTTCTTTTGAAAGGGAACAGGAAATGGTAGGGGCTGACGTACTGGTAGGACTGAAAGCATGTGTGTGTCTGGAATCTTGAGAGCAAAATGGAGTATGACACAAAATGAAGTTAGAAAGAGAAGCAGGACCTGGGTCCAGCGACCTTGGTACATCACATTCACGATTTAGGATTTTACCCTAAGTGCAACCATAACCATTTGAAGGCTTTCAATAGAGATGTGGCATACTTGACCTGTTTTAAGGTCTCTCCATTTGCTAGGTGGACAGAGGTTGGTGGTAGAACCAGAGGCCAGTGAGAAGAAGATTTACATTCTCCAGATGAGAGATAATAATAGCTTGTTCTGAAATGGTTGCAATTGCAATGAAGCAAAGTGGACAGTTACATAAGGCAACCTGAGAGTAAATAAACAAAATGTGGTTTGGAAATTGGGAAGAGGAATAAAGGAAGGGTTAGGGTCAAGCGTAGGAGCTCTGGTGGCATAGTGCCTAAGGCATGTGCCTGCTAACCAGAAGGCTGGAGTTTCAAACCCACCAGCCACTCCTTAGAAGGAAAGTTGAGCAGTCTACTTCTGTAGTGATACCACCTCGGAAACCCAAGGAGAGATCACTATGAGTTGGATCCAACTCGACTGCAGTTTTTTTTTTTTTTTTTTTTTTAGGTTCAAGTTTAGGAAACAGATCTAATGTCTGATATGAGGGAGAGGATGAAAGGGCAAGCTAGGTGAGAGGAGTACACAATTCACCTTTGTGTATGTCAGGGTTAAGATCCTGTGATAAATGTTGAAGATATAGCTAGACTGTCATCAAGTCAATTTTGATTCATAGCTAACCCCCATTGGGTTTCCAATGTTGTAAATCTTTATGGAAGCAGACTGCCTCATCTTTCTTCTGTGGAGCGGCTGGTGGGTTTGGACCACTGACCTTTTGGTTAGCAGCCAAATGTACTAACCACTACACCACCAGAGCTCCTCTAGAATGTGCTGGAGATATAAAATTGAAAATTGTCATATAAATGGAACTTGAAGTCCTTCAGGTAGATCACCAGTATCAAGAGTATAGAGTGAGCAGAGAAGCTTTCTCAGGATTAACAACACGCTAAATGTTCAGGTACGAAGGGAAGAGAGGACCTGGCAAAAGAGAAATGAATAAGCAAAGCTGTTTCCCAATATTTATTTGACAGTGGAACACTTTTCTTTCAGAGCATTTCATGGGATCCATGTATCCTGGAATAATCAATCACTGGGAAAGGGTATACTAGCTCAGTGTTTCTCAATGGGGAAGAGCCACGCCCTCCCTACCCAGCACGGGAATATTTAGCATTGTTTAGAATTCTCTTGAGGAGCCCTGATGGTGCAGTGGTTAAAACTTTTGGCTGCTAACCAAAAGGCTGAGGTTTGGAAGCCAGCAGCTGCTCATGGGAGAAAGATGTGCCAATCTGTTTCCATGAAGATTTACAGCTTTGGAAATGCTGTGGGGCAGTTCTACTATGTCTTTTAGGGTCATTGTGAGTCAGAATCGACTTGATGACAATGAGTTCATTTTTTTGGTTTGGAGACATTTTTGTTGTCACAACTTGGAGGAAGGGAGATATTATGGTCATCTAGAGGCTAAGGAGGATAATAATTTATTTGAG